ACGTGTGGTCTTATTTGTGTGCATTGGACACAAGGCAACAAGGGCAGACTCTTTCTGTGTACCATCAGACGTCGTTCAAACCTCGTCAATCACAAGCTGAGTCTTTTCGCTTCAGCAACGTGGGTACGAGTTGTGCATCTTTGTGTACCTTCTAATGCCATCGCTGTCTGGGTATGATGTGGGAGGGCGCTGCGATAAATACTGCCGGACTGAACACGATTTGCTCAGCAGCCATATCACACCCCTGGACCTTGTGCGCCGTCTTTGTTACCATGGCACATGTTAGTCTGCCGTACATATTCTGGTCGTCCGTTGGACTGTTGCTCTTCTCTTTGGCCATATTAACCAGGCCGTTGACAGTCTGGTGGTAGGTGCACCATACAACTCATTCAAACGACCCTGTTAGGAAGGTCATGGACACTGACTGTAAGCGTAGCCGAACCTACGCGCATGTTCTTCAGACCGCAGGTTCTGACAAGTTCAACACACAAAAACAGAGTCAGTCATTCAGTCAACTGCTCGATCGATCAGTCCAAGAAAGAAGCCAGAGTTGTGTGCAGGACGCAGTGAGCAGTGGCGCAGTCTCATTTGTCTTGAAGCTAGTCAACCGTTATGGTCGCGACCAGGACAACCTAACAGTGTTATGGACAGTGGTCGCATTAAGTGACTTGGATGTCACCTGCATACCTTAATTGAAAAAGTGACTCGACATGTCACTCAACTAAGAAAGACCAAGTTCGGCTCAGTATAGCCCTCAAGACGACTGATAGGTTGACTAGTAAGCTGATTCCAGGGTGAAGTTGATAGAAACGAGGTAGCTTGAAACTTTAGGACAGTTCTGCCTCCCTAGGAAGTGACATAGAAGGACACTGAGTGGCTTTCACAAATCGAAACTGTGACCTACCCTGCAGTTGTGTTAACGTAACTGCGGCAACCACCATTCAGACTCACTCCCTAACTTAGCTGCATTAAATTACAGTTCTAACCAAACCCGTTCTTAGAGAACAGCTTCTCAGTTGATAGAGGATCAGTAGTGCAGCAGGTCAGGTTGGGTGCATTCCATGTGATATGTCGTTGCGCAGAAGGTTTATTTCACCAGAGGAAGGTTGTAGTGAAAATAGCAAATGGGACAGCAACAGAACACAAGAAAACTGGTTTAACAAGACGGATCTATCACACTACCCACGAGGGTGCTGAAAACTCTTCGATATCCTACAACCGGATTCGCCCTTCTGTTTCGGGTTCATCAGGTAGCCGGTAGTCCCCCTTTTCCACCAACCTTATGTTCTACTTGAACCCAGATTGCAACAAAATTAGGGAAGTACACTCATTTGCATACCGGTTTGGTTTTGACGGGTGACTCACCTGGAACCAAGCTGAATCTCTAGTTTGTTAAACTGGGGGCGGTCCGGTCCAGCACATGCAGTTGCTTATAAACATAAAAAACTAGAGATTAACGTGGCTTCCAAGTGAGTCTCCCGTCAAAACCAACTTGGTATGCAAATGAGTGTATTTCGCTAAGGATGAATTTATCTTGAAAAATCTACTATCCGTTCAGCGACCCATCTGCTCGCGCAGATTGGGCTCAAGTGGTTGGGCCACCAGTCGAAGTGACATCGTCCGTGCTGGAATGCAATCCAGCTGCCGAGCTCCAGACTAACAACCAAGCAACGCACTCGAGATACCTATATTCCGTAACGTCGCCATCGACCCAACTGCCAGATCCAGATGACAGTATGAGCTACACAGTTTCTTCCTCAGAGAGAAAGCCTGTCACATTTCCACATCCACCAGATCCAGTTTCTTACTCAGAGAGAAAGCCTGTCACATTTCCACATATTTCGGGTTCTTTTGATATTGTATCCTTCTCATTGGAAACAACTCGTAAGTGTGAGGCTTAACGAGAACTCAAGCTACACAAGCAGTGGGTCGAAGGATCCATTTTTTCTGTCCGAATGACTAAAGTAACAAAAGTGGTGACAGCAGAGCAGGAGAGAAACTCCAGAGACTCCTGAATAAAGAAAATCTTATTGTTTGATCTAAGTGTAGTATATTGCGCTAACGGGTTGCATTCAGGAATAAGTAGTTCACTTGATATAGAGCCTTTCGGTCTCCGAGCAAGATTCGAACTGTGGAAGATTCTAGTGTTAATTCAAACAATCTTAGTTTCATGCGCATTTTGTTTTAGTGAGTTCTGTTCTTTTAGGTAGACTGCATGCGCCATCAAAGTAAGTCAGTAGGTCGAAAGTAAAGAGAACTTCAGCCGATATGTTTAGAAAAACATAATTGTAGGGTCATGTAATATCACTCAATAAATACAGATGTCCACACCGTTGTTTTTGACAAATCTTGTTAAAGTTTGGTGAATTCTGAACAGCGCCGGCAAAGTTGGGTACTGAACAATGACTCGTGAAAAGAAGTTCCACTGTATTCCTGGCCGCAATACTTTGGGTACTCGGGTGCATTAGTTTACTGTAACTGATCTGTTTGCTGGGTTTGGTGATTTTCACGCACAAATTTCGTCACCAATGATGATGACACCATCAATGCTCCTAATGTCGGGTTGTACTGCGGAACATTGTGCATCTTAGGTACAACAACAGGCAATGTGTGCCAAACTGAGTTCCGAAGGGCCAGTGAAACATTCAATCTGACACGGAGCAAATTAAACGAGTTCGGATAGGAATCATCCGAGGCAAACTCTCGGTCCATAATTATCAATCCAAGCAAGAAGAGTTGAACGGGTGAGCTCTTCTGTGAGTGATTTGTTAAATAGCCCATGACCAGATCACATGATGTGTCATGGTTAGCTATAAGTTCGGGACAGTTTGTCTGGCGATGGCTACGAAAATTCATTGTGACCTCAGCCAGGAGTGATAAGCAGAATAGTGTGTTTGCGTGGAGCACGGGATTGAGCGGAAAATAAAGACTGGCTGAAAAAGCAGCCAATGGAAAGCTTTCGCGAAGAAAGACACGGGTTTTTAATTATTTTGAAAAAAAACCTTGATAACTGCCCGAGATGTGTTGGGTTTTGCAGTTTGCTTTCACTACCTTGGGTCTATGGACCAAGTAAGGCAAACTGACTACAAACCACTTTGTGCCCGAGTCAAGCAAACCTAAACCTTTGGGCTGACAGTTTTCATCTGCCACTCGGGGATGAGTCAACGAAATGCCCTTGTTTGATCACCTGTCGGGAGTGGCGGGTCCAAAACCTATTGTCCAGTTGAAAGCCTACCTGAGTGACCACCTGTACTTTATGGTTTACGGTGTTTCGCTTGGTCCACTACGCAATAAGGAAACTGCGCGGCACTCTTATATATATATATATATAT